GAGAGGCCGAAGAGGAGATAGAAGGCGTTCCAAGAGAGGCCGGCAATGCCGAATGCTCCCAAAGCCTCCTTGGTGAAGAGGCGGTCGACGAGGGTGCCGATATCATCGTTGCCGGTGGCAGCCATGGCCCTCTGAGGGAGCACCAGCGCCAAACCGAGAGCCAGCCCACCAGCCAGCGGCAGGATGCTGCTGGCACTGCTGGGTGCACTGGTCTCAACGCCTTGCGCCATGTCCATTGGTCTCGCCGTGCTGAGCTCTGGGCGAGGGGCTTCCTGCTTGCCGAAGGCTGCCGGCACGAAGCTCTGCTGCGAGGACAGCATCAGCAGCAGGCCGCAGCCCATCAGAATCTTGCCGAGAGCCATGGCGCGAGTGGCAGTGTTGCGAGGGCAGGCAGTGCACTTTCTTCGAGCCTGGCAGCGGAATCGACGAAGGACATGTCAAAAGGTTGGCGGCCACGTGTACCAATGTCGCAGATGCGTTGCAAGTATCAGAGCATGACCCAAAGCTCTCGTGTTGCTGTGATCAAGCCGTGCCTGGTCCTGCAGCTTCGCCACCTCCTGAACTGCCTCTGCAGAATGTGCAAGATGCCTAGTTTGTAGATGCACAGCAAATTTCAGCAGGCCCTGCTGCCTTGCTCACTCACATGGGACAAGCAAACTCGCGCCTTGGCTCGCTCCAGCACCAAAGACAGGCCGTCTCTGAAAGAAAACACGCCTGCACCATACCCAAGGACGTCGTGAGGCAGAACCCAACATGTCACAATGTGCAGTTCTTTGGTCACCAGCCTGCGGCTGTGAGTGCAGTGATTCCGCCGACTGACAGGCCGGCTGTGGCCTGCCCAACATCAGAGCTCCGTTCATGCTATCAAGAAGTGCTTCCCTGTCTGTCATCTTCTCTCCCGAAACCTGCCTGGAAGTTGCCAGCCTCAGGAGGACGTGTTCAAAAACGTTTGTGGGGTCGCATGCTCAACAACAGAAAAAATCCTGTGTTTGAACTAGAGGTGTGCAATCCGTTTCGTGGTTTAACGGCGAAACCTTGTGTCATGCACCACCAACCCCTCACCGCGGGTGAAGGTCTCGGGATCTCCGTCGGATCAGTCAAGACGGATATTGCATGAGGAGTTGCGCAGCAACGGCACCATCTAACCCGTACAACACATCGACCTGATCGTTTATGAACGTCGATCCGCAAGAAACAGCACCGATTCCTTGGTAAACGCCCGCTGCACCGAGAGCCGCACGGCCGGCTTCTCGCTCAAAAGCTTGCGATGCGCGGCCAACCCGCCCACGAACAGAGCAGGATGCGTGCGGGTCGGATCCTCCTGTGTTGAAGTTACTTTTGATAGGTTGAAATATCTCAACGGGCCTTTGACTCATATTTTGCTGCACGGAGTACAGACACGCAGCAACAGTATACGATGTGCGCAACGAAATACGATGCACTAGGTATATACAGGTATACATGAAACAAAAAGTAATGCATATATACTCGCAGCTTGCAATATATACTTGCACACCTTGCATACGTAAATACATACATACATACATACATACATACATACATGCATGCATGCATACATACATACATACATACATACGTGCAAAGGACGCACAGAAATGCCGTACTGTTCTGGATAGTGTTGTGCAGGTGAAACCGACTGTCCTGAAACAAATATTGTGAGCCAACCACGAGGTCTTCATGCGCAGCTAGCAGTTTCTAGCCGTCGAAACGAACCGAAGTCCGGAGGTTCGGACTTGGCAAGGCTTTCGTGCGGGTAGTCCCTCTAAGAAGCATCAACCGGTTGCCCTCTACTCCGTCTGTAGGGAAAGTAACTTAATTAATCGATCTGTCTCTATTTCCTTCTTGAGGCACATCTAAGAAGGACGACCCTGCATTAGTGTGTCTTGGACACGCCACCATTAACGTGCTCCACGATTTGCGAAGTAGCCCGAGGCCAAACCAGGAAGTGTCCATGATCAAGGCCATCTAAAACGAGGGTCTTCAGCTGAGGAAGCTTTGCAGCTGTGGTGTAGATATCCTTCACAGGCAGTATCTTGTCTTTGCCCATGAGGATCACTGATGAACCCTCAGGCAGCATTTCAGGGAAGATCACGCTGTCGGTCCAGAAAAAATGCCTCATAAGGGTTCGCGCAATACCAAACTCTCTGGCGCCAAAAACGCGCAGCAGTGCGCCCATCAGTGATCTCGGCCGCTTGTACAAGAAGTTTACACAGACATCCGGCAGGTTCAGCAAAATGCAAACCGGATCCACCAGCACACATCGCGAGATGATTGCTGGCTTATACCGGAGCAGCCATGCAACGGGCAGGGTCCCGAAGGAGTGACCAAGTGCAACGCAGGACGTCAAGCTGTGCTGCTCCAGAACTTCCACCACCCAATGCGCGTAGTCGCTCGAGGATGGGATGGCCGCAAAGGGGTTCATGGAAATCCTGGGTTGTGGATGGACCCTTGAGCAGCCGAGCAGCCCTTGTTCCAACAAAAACTCAGGCTTGCTCCCGTTTTGACTTACAGGATGGTTTTGGATCCATACTACAAGACCTGGGCCCAGCATCCAGGGCAGTTCGAAGAGGAACTGGTCAGGAGAGCCCAAGCGCAGCAACAGCGGCATGTACAGAGTGAGGCCCAAGCCGATGCCTAGGGTTTAGGGCTTTGGGTCTTGGGTTCAGGCCTCTTTAGGGCTTTAGGGAATGATTAGGGTGTAGGGCAGCACGAAGACGAAGACCAGTAATCCTTCGAAACACCCAAGATGCCAATCTTCCAGGATCCGTATGAAGATTACTACTTGATGAGACCTGCGAAATGCCTCGTGGCTCGCTGTCTGCTCGTGAATCGCTGCAGATTTGGCAGGCTGGGTTTGAGGATTCTTTCTTCGGCTACGTCGACCGGCATGGCGAGACCCCAACAAATGGCATGAACCCGCGTCTCAAGCTTCTCAAGATGCGGAGCTGTTACCGTGGAAGAAGATCAGCGGCTGCTCCTCGGAGGAAAGCAGGAGAATCAGGGAGCAAAGCCATACAAACAACATATGTCCCACTAGGACACAGTCTGCTGCCGTTCTGGCCACAAGGCATGTTGAACAACCTCGAGCAGAAACAGAAAAGAGTGCTGGACATGGCTGCATCCGAGCATCTGGGGATTCCAAGCAATGAATTCCTTTGAAACCGCTCCGCAGGCGGTACCAGTACCTTTCAGGTGACGTGTGGCTTCTCCGTATGACGACGGAAGTCTTCCGGCCTGAGGCCATGGTGGTGCGCGCGCTTGAAGCCCCGCGCCATCCTCGCATGAAGCTCAAGGCTTGTTTCGTTTTTTTTCATTGCTTCAGGAAGAGGCATAGACAAGCCGGAGGGTTCAGGAGGGCTTCGTCATTTGATATTCTTAAAGGTGTAGTGTCGGGGTTGAAGGTGTTGGACTGCACGTCGAGAGCAAAGGAGAGCAATGTGCGTGTGTGTTGCAGATATCAGAATGGCAAGAAGTCTTGACCTCATGTGTTCTAGAGGAAGTGCGTGTGTGCTCGCATGCTGCAGGGAGGTGTGTGCGTGCGTAAATTTACACATCACCTATATACACACTTCTGTTCAACATAATGTGCACATACACGCATATGCTCGCAAACACCGACATGTAGCACACGTAGAAACTGCATACATGGCTCATGTCACTTTTCCTCAGGCTTCATTCGGGGTGTCACGGGATGACTGTTTAATTTCAGACATGCACGGCTCCAAGGCTATACCGCCACACGTGTGTCTGAACAACTTTCCTGCGGCCAAGCAGCAAAAGGCAACCGTGCATGAAGTCTAGGACACGGATGGCCTTGAAGGAATCACCGCTCTGGTTGCTGCTGGAAGTTGAATTCACAAAACCGCTTGCCAGCTGGCAAGGCTGAAGACAGACATCCTCGCTGAGGATTTTCGAGTGATTTCGAGTGTTTCTTAGATGTTCGATCATCCTACGTACATCCTTGCGACCAGGACCAATCGAGGCACCAGGTCTGTAACAACATCTCTGACGGTTCTGCAGGTGGTCGGATGAAGGAAAGTAGTATACTCCAGCAAGGTGGTGGTGAGGACGGCAACAAGCATCTTTGTAGTAGGATCGACTAGCATGCATCCAAATTGCCACCTCGCTGACGAAAAAACAAAAAGCAATCCGATTGCTAGACTTCTGGCCTTTACGCCGACCCACCCACCCACCATCCAACTTCAAGCAACATGACAGCTGCCAAAACTCAGATTTCAGGCAAACACAGAATCAGAATAGTTACAATCGAGGCAGACACAACAAGCAAGCACATGATATTATCTACTGTATTAAAACTGATTCGCAAGCCCAACAGAAACGCCAAGGCCCTGCACCAGTCTACTTTTTTGTCGACGTGATGCAACACAGCTGCTGTATAGAAGAGCAATGGCCGATGAATGCAATGGATCTCGTCGAGCGTGTGCCTGCCCCGGATGTCTCTTAGAGAATTTCCATGCATCGACACCTAGTGCAACTGCAATCTCAACACGTGCACTAGGTAGCACCGGCAATGATCATTGTCATCGTGGCCACTAGTAAGAAGAGTACCATTATCCCACGAAGCAGAAGACCAACAAGACAAAGCAACATACATATTGCTAGGCCGCTAGGCTCTTGATGCTGAGCAACGGGAGACAAGCCAAAACAGCTCGATCTTTGCACAGCATTGACACGCCTGATCGGAACCGCCCCGGTTCTGCCGGGTCGCAGCTTCTCATCCATTCGAAACTCCTCAGAAAGCCATGCGTTTCTGATGCATTTCTCGACACCCTAAGATCTAAGATTGTGCAAGGCCTGACAGCAGCCTGCGGGCAATAACTCGCAATGACACCTCAAGCACACGAGAAGTGTCGACCGACATGAAGCCAAGGTTCAGAACTGAGTTTTTCGTACCTTGATGCCGCAGCAGACGACGTATGCGAGCAGGTATCAAGCACACAGGTGGCTGGTGGTGATAGGCACCGAATGTCATCTGCTTACGTGTAAGCTGCCAGCTCAGAAACTCGCTAGGCTTTGCAAGTAACGCAGCCAAGGCGCGTGAACTCGGTCCAAGCGACCTATCACAACTGCCGCTGCGACAGTCGGACTGCAAAAGCCAAGCCAAACATGCGACCATCCAGCCTCGTCAGAATCCAAGTCCTCAAGCTTCTTGTAGAAGAATGCCCAAGCGATCATATCAGTCAACTCATCCCGCCTTGGGAACGTGTGTTGGGCTCACAGCGCTTGCAAAAAACTGGTAAGCACTGATGACTCTGCAGGAGCCCTTCCAGCGGCCAGTTGGGCTGTGATCGCTGTGCTGTGTGATGATTTCCGTCGGCGTGCCGAACAAATGCACGCCAGGCTGAACCGAAGCGTAATGCATCCCTTCGTCTCACTTGTTTTATGTCAAATGCATTCAAACCGCTCGATTCCTGAACAGCAGAAACATCAGAAACCGAAGAGGTGGGCCAGGGCCAGTGACTGCCCAGCAGCCCAACCTCATGCGGGCTCAGCAGTCGGTCTCGGTCCTCTGTCAGGAACCAGCCCTGCACCTGACGCCACATGCCTCGGCGAAGAACACAGTGGCACTCACCTTGCAGCATCGGTTTGATTCTGAAGCCGGGAGGCCGTAATCTTCAGCATGGGCCACCATCCTATCGACGACAAAGTCTCGATCCTGCACCCGGATACATGAGTCAGCGCAGTGCTCCGTCCATCAAAAAGCTAGACTCCAGACCGGCCTTCTCGGAGACCAGCGGCGGTGGCTTTATCCCCTGGGCCTCCATGGAACGGACAGCTCTTGGAAAGCCCACAACGCGTGACGGCGAGAGCCGTGTCGATGGTCATGCAGATGGGAATCTGTTTCGTATCTTTTCTGCACCCCCAGGTAAGAGATTCACCTGTCCCTGACATTGTGCATCGTCACGCACTTTATGTCCCTCAGGGAGTGCATGGTTGAATCAACATCTGCGTGCTGGCGAGGCCTCTTTGAGTGCTTGCCGGTACCAGACATAGAAAACGAGCTCGCCTCAAGGACGGGCCATCGAATGCCTCACTGATCCTCACTGTTTGCAAAAACTAGAAGCTGAGTGTGATGTGTAGCCCTCGCTCTCCCAAAGTGTTGTGGGCTGGGGCAGCAGGAAAGCAACAGGCAATTTCAGGCAAGATGCAAAGAATCCAAGCCTCAGCTTGCACAAAGCAACAGCGAGCAGCTGCTGCCACAGGCACAGCAGCCACACTTTTAGCCACGATGCGCAGAAAATGCCTGCGCACGCTGCCGGCCAGTAGTCCACCTGCCAGACCATGGCTGGTACCAGGTCCTTGACTGAAAGCGGCGCTACGTGTAGACAGGTTTCATTGTCTTGCTCCCTGCGCTGTCTAAGCTACCGGCTGAAGGCTGCAGAAATCCGACGCCCGCACCAGACATTGCGGTATTGAGAAGGGCGTGTCGGCCTATCTGCTTATGCTGAGCGGCTGATGCATTCGCCAGTACATTATGCCAACACGGCTTCGGGCTGCTTGAGAATCTCTGTGACTTTCGACGCATTCATGATCATACGTTTCACCAGCAGGTGTGGTGTGTTCGCTAACCTTCAAACGCAGCAGTATGCAGCAGTCAAAGATGGTCACGAACTCGCAGGTGTTTCAGAAAACTCTTTTGGAGGCACGTCCTTCAAGCTGCTCTCTGGGCCGTGCAGGCAGACCTCCACACTTCAAAGGCTCCAGCATCACAGCAGTTCGAGCTGCGAACATCGGATCTAGTCACTCTGGTTGCCTGAAGTAGATCGAAGCCGAGAAGTCTTTGCGCCTGAGCAGGGCAGTGGGTGCTCCATCGAAAGCTAAGGAAAAAGAAGGATCCACTCAAAGGCCTCGGATAGCATCGCCTGAATCTCCGGCACGTCTTGCACGTCACGAAACATACCAACATACCTTTGCAACAAGAAGGGCGATGACAGGCTTTCACAGACAGCTTCGCAAAAAGACCGCCAAAACTGAGACCCGGGCTCTGAGCCTGGGCCGGGGAACAGCAAGCCAATGGGCTCGACATCCTGCAAGGCCGCGACCGACTTTCAGGAATCAGGCACCCCCTGTTCAACTCAGTCCCTTCGAGGCCGATCTGCAACAGTTGGCAAAGCTGCCGGAGCGTGTAGTAGGATCCTTAATATAAGGACCCAAAACTGAGGTATCCCTTATTTCGAAAACCCCCAAGTGCTCCTTTTCAGCAGCAAGCAGAGGCGATAATAGCAGAGTCCTTGGGAGCCACCGATGCCAAGGCAGCCGGCGCAGCTGCCCGCAAGAGCTGCAGCACTTCCTCGGCATCGGACCGACCATCTCGAAGAGCATGCTACTAACTATCAGTACGACCGTGATCGATGCATCCATCTCTACAGGCAGCCGCGCAGCCAACACACTGTTTCGAAGGAAAGGGCGAATACCCAGCTGGCAATGCACGCAGGGCATTTTATCCGAAGTGCAATGGCTTGCACGGGCTGTGCATGCTGGCCATCTTGGACAGCTTGCAAGCACCTTCGTGACTCTGGGACTTTGCCTGCTAGGCGGGAACTTACGCTTCGTTGCTCAATGGCTGCTTCCTGGCATTCAAACATGCTATGTACATGGACAGCAGCACGCGCAAAGTCTTTCGATTCGATAGATGTGCCTTCGGCACCAAGCTACAAAACAAAGCCAGCAATTCGACTGGATATGCAGAAGCTAGAACACTACACTGATTAATCGTCTCTCCCTGGACAGCGAGCCTTACTCCCTCTGTCGGCCCGATGGCGGTGCCGATATCAGTCTGAAGAATCAGGCGTCTCTGGCCGTTTGCGTGTGCGCGAAGACTTGTTTCCTGCCTTCAGCTGCCAGCAACCGGCCGTAGAACACTCCAAGAGGCTGCACTTATGATTGATTTGCATGATCATGGGCTCCTCCCGTGCCGATTTCACCGGTGGGGCTTCTTCGCCTTTGCTTCCGGTGCCGCTCAGGGAGTTGGGATCGGTCTGGAACGTATGCGCAGCCATGGAGCCGCGAGAACCAAGCTTCTTGTCCCGTGGAGTGCCAGTGACCGCCAAGTTCAGCGTCGTCTCTTTTGCGTGGCTCTCGGCTTCCGATTGGTGCCGATTCTTTTCACTCTCCACTTCCGACTGTTGCCGAAGCACTTCCAAGTGTTGCCGAAGCTTATCAGCTTCGCTCTCAAGAAAGACCTTCGGTACAGGAAAGGTTGGGAGTCAGAGGGCAGAGTCACGGGTGTTGAAATGGCTTTTGACCTGTACAGTGCTTTAAAAATGCTTGCAGATTGCAGTGGCAGACCCGTCAAATCCTGCTGCCGAGCAACGGCTTGAGCCGCGGCCCCCTCTGGAACAACAACCTTGGTCCCAGCATATACCACTGCAAGAGAGCAATCGCACCGCGGCTAAGTAGGAGTCTAAGCCTGCGACGGCTCGGGCAGTTGGCACCGCTGCTTTCCGCGTCATCCGAAGCCCTTGGCCGGGTTGGCTGATGCTCGGGCGCTTCATGTCCATGGTATCGCCCTCTGGACAGACGCCCGTGCCGGCACCTATGAGGAGCTCCTGTGCGATGGCAGTGGTCACAATCTCAATCTTTGGCTGCACCCGCTTGGGCTCCGCAGGAGGAACCCTGGGCTTGGACTTGGACCTGCTTTCTTGTCTCCGAAGGGAGGGCGAAGGAGATGGCGTGCCGTATTCGGACGACCGTGCGGACCGTGCAGTAGTGGGCGCAGGAGAGGAGGGCGCCGGATCCCAAGCACTGAAGGCTTCCGCGTTTTGGGCTCGTTGCCGACCTTTGGCAATCACTTGGCCCATGTAGCGGTTATGGCGGCGGACCCTCTCAGCAGCCGTTCGGACTTGATTTCCTGTGCTTTCAGAGAACCATCTACACCTTCCCTTTTCAGAATGGACCTTGGGCGTTGGCACGCAGTAGTGTCGCTTCTGCGCTGCTGTCTGGGTCGCTCCGAGATGCTTCGCCTTGATGTCAAAGGTCCTACCCAGGGCCTCAACATTGGTGCCCTCCAAGACTGGCACGTTGATGTCCAGCTCTTGCTGTACCTTCCGCAGCATGCTGTCAACACCGAACTTCTCCTTCATTGCCTGATAGTCATGCATCATCAGCTCGAACATCCGCTCACATTTCGGGCCTTCCCTCTCGTCCACCATCAAGTTTTGCAAAGCCTCCTCGGAGAGATAGCGGAACATCTTCTGTGGCAGAGCCTCCTGTGCACCTCCTCCCTTAGCTGCGTTGCCAGATCGGCTGATGCTCGGCACAAACATCAGATTCCGTGCGTCAGCGAGCCACAACTGGGACTTGCGATCCTTATAGAAGATGAACTCCCCGGACACAAGCTCCAAGTTGCAGTAGTATGTGAGATGCTGGGCGAGCTGAGTGGGTACGGCAGACATCTTGTTCCGATCCCTCACCGACTCCAGAAATGTATAGCGCTCGAAGTGGTTGTTCATGATATCGCGCAACCTTTCGTGGACGGCTCCGGCTGCGTCTGTTCGGAGAGCATTGTAGTGATATGTAATGAAGCTGGGCCGAGGGGTAGCCGAGCCTGTCCAGAAGCTGGCCTACAAAGCAGGGGCACGGACACCACTGCTTGAGGTCACACCTAGAATCTAATTAGCCGTTTTCGTGCAGATTTCCCAAAACTTGAAGTTGAGGCTCGGGGAATGAGCCGAAGCCCAAAGCCGAGACCTGTCGGCTTTCTGACTGCTACGCCTGACGTCTAACGCTGTGTGCAACTACGCTCCGGCCTGCAGCAAGCTGATTCCGGCGGGCCACTCGCGACTGCCGTCGAAGCAATCCTTGACCTCACTGCTCTGCAAGCGGTGCTCACGACCGCTTTTGCCGCCGTCGGTGCCAGACCAAAACCTCCAGGACGGCGCCATGGGCTTTTTCAGAGTTGCGTTCGTACTTCTCTTCTCTTTGTGGCCTTTGGCATCTTCTCCGCTGTGCCGCCTTGAGCTTGGCACCTCCAGGCCCAGGCCTACAGGGCCTAGGCCCCCCGGGCGCTCCGTGCGGTCGAGCTTCTCCTTCTCCAGGGCCGACTCCAGCTCCCGGTAGCAGTTCCAATCCATCTGCTGCCGAGATTTCATGAGCTCCTCGATGGTGCTGTGAACCAAGTAGGGCTCCTTCCTCATCGGCCTGCGCACGGCCCGGATGAAGCCGGCGCAGTCAGTGAAGAACAAGATCTGGGGAGTCTTCTCCAAGAAGATCATCTCGGGGATGAGCAGCTGCAGGGGCGGCGGGGCGGCATCGGCCTTCCACTCTGCGACCATGGGCACCGCCGGTGCCTCGTTGCCGAAGTCCGCCACCCGAAGTAGCAGCCACTCGAAGCCATAAGGCCCCAGGCTCCACTCCCGGACGGCTGCAAGAGCCCCACCGGCCGGATTGCCTTTGACATCGCCCCTCGGCATCGGTGGGACCCACGGGTGGACCACATGTACTGTTTGAAAAGGATTCTGTGTGCAAGGAGACTTCCCGCATCCAGGCCCTCTAAAGACATGAGGATACTTCCGGAGAGCTCAAGATGGCTCAGCATGAAATGTATGATGACACCGAAAGAAACCGAAAGACCACATAACCAACAGTATGTGTCTGTCTGCACCCCTGCCTCTCGGATGCAGTTTTTGCGGGATAGAGCCAAGAAGGCAGCGGGAGGCCCCTTCAGCCTTGACCTGTCCCTCAACCTGTCTAGAACCGGCTTGCTGGCCTACTAGTTCCTCTTGTCGAACTGCCAACACCTTGCCTTTGAAGCTTATTCAATCAGTGACATGGGATGTTAGAAGGGGTCCATGAGAACCGAGGGCCTCGGAAGCTCCGGCATTCTGCGCCAAGCGGGAGGGAAGGCGTCCGAAGCCGTCTCTGCGCTCTGCCGCGCTACCGTTGGCCTGGCAAGGACTGCAAGCATACCTGAATCAGAATAGTAAGTCCTGGTATAGAAACCCTACATTCTACTATATAGGTACATAGGACCCTTTGGGATTAGATTGTCGAGATCATTGGGGCCACCTCTCGGCGGGTAAATCGTTTTACTGCATTTGAAGAACTCCTCGTAACTTTGCGTGACTTCTCGAAACAACTCTACCAACCTTCTTCCCGGAATGACATGACCAAACATATGGTGAATTCGGCCCCAAGCAGCGATCGTGCAACTCAGGAATGGGTGCTCAAGGGTGCTCGAGAACCACACTCCAGAAGCACGTGCCCATTGGAGCATGCTTTCGGCCTTTAGAAGCAGCTGCAGCACCTCTTTGGGAGCATTGTGCTCTGCGGCCTTGACAGGACGGTGTGGGCGGCTGTTCTGTCTGTGTAGATAAGACGGAGCGGAGTGTGCACAGTCTTTGTTCTTTCTAGTTGGCGGATTGGATCACTAGCCAGATTCGAGCGGCAAGCTAGCTTCTTTGACAGTACACGACGTCTCTTGAGAGTTTCCTTGCCTCTGCGCAGACGTGACAGCAGAATCACACACTGGTACACCATCTGTACATTGTCCAAACATGAACAAGCTAGAGATAACACATGTGCACATCAACCGGCATACACATCGACGGAATTACCATGGCACACACATGTAATCATACGGATCCTTAGCGAGGGTAAGGGGGAAGGAAGTAAGGGACTGTAATTCAGGAATTGGTTTCATTCGACAGTTACCAGGTCCTTGAAGTCCTTGTGTTAGAGGTATTTAGGCCCCCTGCCCCCCTCCGCATTACCCGATAAGGGTCCTTATGGCGAAACATGAACTGATCTCCGGGGCTGCAGCCCAGTGTAGTGGAAGCGAGCCCTCGCGGTCTAGTTCGTGTGCTGCTTCCGGACAAGTCGCCTCAGCATCTCTGTGAACGAGCCTCTCGTTAGTACCAGTGCAGCACCGTTAACGGTCTGTTTCATGCTGCAGCGACCACACGTTGTTGGGACTGCTGTTCGCGCGTTTCAGTTGATCATCGACTTCGTGACTAATTGCGCCTGCAGACTAACTGGCGCGAGACCTGGTTGGACTTACTGTGGGATCACCCCATGTGAAGTCTGCCCGACCGGCATCCAAATCTGCCGGTTGTGGGGCCCCCTTCCCGTCCATGAAGCATCTTGCACATGTCGGGTGCACTGTGCTTTGTCAAGTTGTCTTAGACATTCACGTCGCCCAGGTAGGACTGGGCCAGAGGGGCCTCTTCCAAACGACTGCTCTCTTCGCAGTACTCAGTAGCCTCTGATCGGATTTGTCTTGCTTCTTATTCCGCCAAATACAGTCACTCAAAAAGACATGTTCTCGCTCTCTACCGACAAAGCCCTGACAGATGGTCAAGGGCCCTCGCCAGAAGCAGTCGGACAGACTCCAGGCTCAGCTTGTCGACGTAGTGTAGTGGCGTCCAGCCCTCCGTACAGATTATGTACTGCTCTTCACATGTTTAACCTCCGACCTACATCTCAAACTCGTTCCAAGTCTGAAAATCCTGCGAACTCTCAGATCGCTTAAAGAAAATGAAAGGGGGCCAGCCTCGGTGGGATGTTTCTCCTTTGCAGCTTCGGGATGAGCATCCAGCAGAGCTTTGAGAACCTCCAAGTCTCGAGACACGAAGCTCCTCTTTACAATAAGCGAATCGAATCGTCACTGCCTCCGCCTCAGCACCGTAGCTCAAAGCCCAAAAAAGTGGCCTCGCGACATGCGTCATTGCATGTGCATTGCACAGTCTCCACACGCACTCGGAGCCGCTCTTCAGGTTGTAGAAGATGTCGCATGCTCCCGCCTTGGATACCCATGCCGCTCGTCTTCAGCAGTGCGAGCTTTCCAGTAGCGGCAACTGGGGGCGGCACAGTCTCTCGCGTGATCAGAGGCTTCACTGCCTAAGCGCAGGGAAACAGGAGATGCAAAGAAACTCAATATGTGAGGCAGATCTTCGCAGGAGGGGCCCGGGCCTTGGCGTCAGCTCTCTGTTGCAGCGCCTGATGACAAAGAACCGCACTGAAACCCTGCGAGGCTGATGACCAAAGAAGACAGAGCCTGACGTCCAGCCCTCTGAGCTCAGTACACCGAACAGAGCCTTTGAGCCACTACTCCTGGCAGCACTAGAAAATGGGGAGGGCCGGGGGGTCAGCTTTGTGCACTCCGGTCAAGCATGCCGCTGCCACATGGGCACAGCCATGGCCATCAGAAAGGCCAGGGGCACGTAAGTGAATGATGTTGAAGAGTTTTTTTGTTGTGGACTTTTGCCGTTGATGACGACGTCCGTTTCCTCTAGAATCGTCATTGTTTCCAAGTTGCACTGTGCAGTGTGGCCATGATGTTGTTAGCGAGTTGGGCTGACTTGACAGGACGGGAAAGGGCGGCGCGTGTCATGTTCGCTCCTGGAGCCACTGGCGAGCCCGAGAGCTCCTGAGATTACCACAGGAAGGTCAGGCCCGAAAGATTCAAGAGGACTGCAGTGGGCTTCCTTTTGAATCCGTTGCGGACAGATCTTCGCTTTGGATGCACTGCATCAAGGTCACATGGAAGGAGCATGCTGGCTGATGGAGAGCTGCTCAAACGAAAGCCTGCTGATTGGCAGGCGTCTGAGATGCTCTACACATATCTGCAGACATGCAGGCTAGGACGCCGTATGAGGTCTTGGGAGCATGAAACTTAAAGCTCGCAGAACTCAGGCCTCGCCTACTGCACGCCCTAGTCATGCGTGCCTTAAAAGCCCGCCTCGCCATCCAACACTTTCACAGCCTGCAAACGGCTCATGAAGCAAACGACCTCAAAAAGAAAGCAGATACAGTAGCTGCATCCAAGGGGCATTCTTCAGCTGCTCGATCTCCTCCTTCCGTCGGGCGATGGTGTCCTCCAGTCCATGAGGCTGGGAGTGTCTGAGGCTCCTTGGAACCACACCATTTATCATTTATCATCTTTTCGCGTACTAATTATCATAGGCATCGTGTCGCTTACCGATCGCAGGGCACCGTCGCAATCATAGTCATGTCGAACTATCACCAATGCTCGTCATCTCGAAACGAGGATTACATTCCCTATGCTTCGACCCATCGCCTCCATTGACGAGGCCTTGGGGCCACAGGATGTGGAGAGCGCATCGTCAGCCTGCAACCATCGCACTGAAAGCATTCAGTTCGTTTGCGGCCCACAAAAACGACTTCAACTTCGCCAGTGTTTAATCTGAATCCCAGCTCAGTTTCATGCAAAACCGTCTCGATTAGGGTCGATCTGTTGCGCGACAAGGGATCCGGCCTTGCCCGCAAGTCTCATGTTCTCCTTGGCTGTCACCACATCCTCGGCAGTAGCGAAGCACGGGAAGTTCGCACAGTGTGCAGACTTCCCAAGGCAAGCACCGAAGAAAGCTCTGCCAGCTCGTCTTTCCGCCTGTCGACATCTGGAATCCTAACTAGCTTATTTGGCTCATGATGAGTCCTCATTATCGCCCAAGACAACTCAGCAGCTTGGAACCCCCAATTGCACCTCTAGGACTCTATGTCTACGACTCCCAGCGATAACACAGCACCACACCAGATGTGTCCTGTTCAAGTCCGCGTTCGCTTGGAACAGGCTCTCCTGCTGGAGCTTCAGAGTCTTCTCGGCATCTGCCTTCGCTGTGGGCTGCAAGGCGAAAGCCAAGCTTCAGACTGCTCCTAAGCCGAGATCAGACAGAAACAAATGAAATTACTGTAGGAACCTGATTAAGAAACCCCGGGCCTTTATTAGGGTTCTAATAATATGAGCCCTAATATAGTCGGGTTATGGGCACAGGGTTTCTTCATCAGTTTCCTGCATTACGCTTGCAAGTGCCATCAGGCCCAGCCCCCCGAGCACTGCTTCCCTGACGCCATGGACGCCTCTGCCCCGGCCTTCTGTTCTTCAGAGAGCTTGGTGAAGTCCACGATGTACGTGGCGAGGAACTGTGCGGCTTTCGGCTTCTTCGCATTCAGCGAAGCTGCTTCGTGGCCCTGTCCTACACCCTTCTGAGCCTGTCTCGCTCACAAGAGGGACATCTGATTTTCCCAGACGTATAAGCCCAGACAATCGAAAAACCACAGACATCATCTTGATCGCGATCCGCTGAATCTGAAAGCCAAACCTCGATCGGGAAGGCTGCACGCCCCGCCTTGTCAAGCTTCTCCAGCCCGAGATTGGCCAGGTTGAGCGCAGAGTCAGCTTCGGCACAGTTGCCAGACTGGCCACAGGTGTGAGCTTTTTTCTACAGGCCTGAGCTCCTCTATGCAGACTCAAAGTGAAAGCATTGCCAGGACGGCGCTCTTGTCCTCAGAGAGCTTGCAATGCTTTTTGAGGACCTCAGGGAGTGAACGAGAATCCAAGGGATGAGTGGCCCTTGTTCAAGAGTCGCGACACGGACCAGGATTCAAGACCCCCACATCGCGGCTCTTGGTGATGACGTCTCTGCTGGAGGCGTGATTCTCAGCCTAGCTCAACTAAACCGAGTCTCGTAGCTGAAAGATATATTATATAATATATTATAACATAATTTAATATATAATATTATATATATAATATATAATATGTATATATATATATATATTATATTTGCTGCGATCTGCTGGGGACCGGCCTCCTCCTTGATTCGAGCAACTTCGGCATCGAGGTCTGTCTTGCCCGAGGTCATGGCCCTGCGTGCCAGAGATGTTGTTCACGTGGACTTGGGTTGATGTTTTCTGTAGTGAGCAACTACTGTAACTATACTGTCACAGACCACCAAACTTACACAAGAAGAATCGGGCTGCTTCAGCAGGTACAAGTAAGTGCCACGCTGTTTGAGGCGGCTCACGTCCGCCTCGAGGAAGTGAGACTGCGCCTTGCACGGGAAACGCATGAAGCCAAGATGCCAGAGCATCAATGGAAAACCCTGCAACACTCCTTAGCCCACTTCGGCCCGTCCTGCAAGTCCAGCACTGCATTCTCCGCCCAGCGCTTCGCTTGCTCGGCGTCCTGTCCACTTCACGTTACTCTGCTCTCATCCAAAAGCAGCTCCACATTGATCATGCGCTACAAGTAACTCGGCGTGTCTAAGCATGTGTACCATGCCTCTGTGGCTGCGGAGAGCTTCTTGAAGCCCTCTCGGGCTTTCTGTTGCTGCTCCTCCTCAGTATTCGAACAGCTTTACATTTCGGGGCAGCATGAGGTTTTTCCATGGGGCTTGCAATTGCATTTTCTCTTTCCGCCAGTCAGCATCCTTGCAAAAAATCTCAAGCTGCAAGACTCTGACCTGCGAGAGAAGGCTTGCAGGAAAGCAGAGGTGTAGCGAGGAAGGTAACAATTTGTAACAACTACAGGACCTACTTCTTGCGCGGCCAGGTGCCAGCATGACTAGACTGCAGTAAATGACAAAAAACAAAACAGCATCCGCCACACTGCTGCTGCTGCCCTGCCTCTTTGCCAATGTACATGCGCCTGTAGATGGCACTACCACACGGCCCCCAACGGGCTGTCCCTTATCTCCGAGATGCTTCGCGTTACCAATGGGTATCTGCTTCGGATAGTACGGAAATGCGAAGGGAGCCGCTGGCCGGTTTGATGTGAGATTGAGTGAAGGCTCTGTGCTGGGAATTCGCTGCAGCCCCTATGGTGCAAACTGGCAGAACTTTGAGTAAGGGTGTGTGTGTGTGTGCTCTGCATTAGAGGCTGTGGCTCAATTCCTAACACACAGCCCAGAGCGATTCAGAGGAAGTCCAGCGCCGGACTTCCTCTGAAGAGATAAAACTTACTGGCACCGCGCAAGCCAAGAACTGCTGCAAGGGATCATCCGCAGTCCTCTTGCCACTTCATGGTGCAGCGGCCAGCTCAGAGTTCATTGCCGTGCCGAAGTAGATGTACTTGAAAGAGACTTGAGGCTGCCCTTTGCTCTTCTTCTTCTACTCCATTCTTGCCGATACCACGCTTGCATCTATTGCACGGCCTGGAAATTACGAGCTAATCACCACGGCCTGGACCAGATGGGTATTCCAGTGCGGCGAAAGAAGCAATTTTCAAACGCACATAAAAGGCATCACTCTATCCAAGCCGACACTGTCGAGTCCGGTTTCAGGCCGGGCGAGCACAATAGAATTCACTGTCCGAATTCACTTCAGTAGAGACTTATTTATTCCAATCTGCACTCATTCGCCGGAGCGAGGATAGCGGCCCCGGCATCGACGGGCGCTACCAAGTGAAGGATGCAGCAACTTTTGCGCTCCATCGCTTCATGGGGACCACGTTCATCAATCCTGTGAGCAGTGCAGGGATCAGCTCAGACTCCTTTGAGAGACTTTGAGCTACTGTAATAGAGAGGCTACTCTAAGAAGGTTCGCCCTCCGTTGTGGCCGCCCTGGCCTGTGATCATTGGAGCTGGGTCGGATGCTGCGAGGCCTCAGGCAAGACGTCGGCGGCTGCATGCTGGCCACTTTCTGAGGGCGGGTTATTGCTAAGCTGAAGGTCCATTGGCGACTTGACAAGTTTTCGCTGAGGCCCGTTCCAAGATCAGTCGCCAGGCTGCTCATGACTGCTCCAGGTGTCGCAAGGAAATTAACCATCTCTTGCACGCGGAGCATATTCAGCGGCGTCTGGGCCATCCAGCCGAACATGCGGAAGAGCCTTAGAAAGAAGCGGTGATTCTCGCTCACAAGTGCTCCTTCGCACACTGCTGCCATGTCTGCCTCCCTACCTCGTGTCATCTGTGACTCCCTTCTCTTGGCGGTTGGAGTGTGGGGCTGACGGTCTACGAGTAGGAGTCTAGAGTTTAGCCATGTTGTTGGACTCCTTCCTGCTTATGAAGTTTAGGGCCGTTTAAGGTTTCATGTTCTCGGACGTTTTAGCAAACTACAATGACACGTAGGTTCAACTGACTGGAGTGCCACTGCTTCGTGATCTGTAAAACGGGAGTGCCACTGCTTCGTGAGCTGTAAAGAAGTCCAACTTGCAGAAACGTCGGATCAAGGCACTTGTCGGTGCCACACAGCATCTCAATGAGTATTGCTCCCAGAGAGAAGACCTGGAGATGCAGTCAAGTCGTAGTTGCATTTGTGCATTCGATTGAAAAAAGATGGCCTACAAAGCTTTCCAAAAATTCCTCCCATCCAGCCACGCAACATCTGCCTTTGCCAGGTCCCAGGGCCTCCCGCAAGGCCACGCGGCTTCTGGTGCCGTAAAGGGCCAAGTGCCGCGGGGATTGCCTCGCAGGGGGAGACCGCAAGCCGCAGCCCGGTACTGGAGGGCCGGAGGGTTCAAGCATCTTCAAGGCATGCTGCTCTCACACACTGAGGCTGGAGCAAACTCCCTGATACACTCAGTGCAAAGGTGTCTACAGGCCCACATGCATGCAAACTGACTGCATGAAACATCACGACGCTTGAGACAGTAAGTCCAGGACCAGCCTACTGGCCAACCGAGCTTCAATGCCAAACCGAAATCTACGATCCTCAAGCGGCCGTCGCTGGCAAGTCGCATCAACGTGCAGCCACCGAAACATGTGTGTTCATGCCTAGGCACAATGCCTTGCAAAACATGGTTTCAAATGTCAGATCTTGGTCGCAGTACGTAGTGCTGGAGTCGAGGCTTCCTGCTAGATTGCCTTAGGCTGGGCCTAGGCACCTGTCAGCAGGACAGAAAACATGCTGAGAAAAAGCGATCTACGCCTGCATGCATTCCCCTTACGCCTTCACCACAAAACACTCACATCTACTACTGGCGTCAAAGTAAATCAGATTAAGCTGGAATGAACGAGCTTCTTTGGAGTTCCATCTTCCGATATGACAACGTTCTGCGGTTTGAGGTCCTGGGTATGCACCAGTCAAACAAACCTCCTGACCGACGAGGCTTCTTTGCATGCACACCAATCCAAAGAAGCACACAAAAAAGCTAAGGGGTCACTTGCAGGTCTTTGGTGGTAAAACCAAAAAACAGCAGAGAACAAGCAGTTCCTTCTGCCTTTCAATCCGTCCGTACCGAACATTTGAAGCCTAGAGTCTAGAGCTTTGATGACGAGCTTTCGGAAGGAACTGCTTGAAATCTGGTTAAGCCTCAAACCCTGATAAGGGACACAGTGAGCAAGGCCATGGCAATGACAATATGCCACTGCATCCGCTATCCTTCGGTGGCATCAGGTCTTTGCAAGCACCCTCCTAAAGCCCCCATCATGGCATGGACAATCAAAGCGTTACGTTCTGGCCTCATGCTGCGACGAACGGGTCTACTAACAATAAAACGTCAAAGAAAAACTCCAAATGAGATCAAACCGCTGATGGAAGAGTTGCCGGGCGATGGGCAGGTCAAGTCCGGTTTGATTGTCCCTAGCGCCATGGTGCCACAGGACAACCACACTTAGAACAGCTTTTCCCATGATTCAGACTGCATTGCGGTCAGCTGAGTCAACAAAGCCAAGGCAGCAAATCTGCCGCTTGCCGCTGACACATTCCTCCCACTCGAGGGTATCGAACGCGCCTGTTCTGAAGGAGCTTGTGAAGCGACTGGCTGCCGGCGAAGTCCATGAACACATAGAAGTTCTTGTATGCATTGACTGCTCCTCGTAGCCTTCAGAGATGCTGTCGGGGCTAGCGGCTAGAGAAGAGAGGAGCCGTAAAGTTACAGCTTAGGAGCTGGACAATGTTGGGATGACTCAACCAGTTAAGCGTGTTGCACTCGGCCATGACTCCAGCCAGCTCATCAGTATTCTTGCCCTTCTTCCTCGCAAGGAGCCACATCGATTGCTGAAGTTTAATCTCTCCAGAATGATACCACATCCGGCCTGATCACCTTCACGGCATTGAAGCCACCAACCAAGGGGTCTGCAACCTTGTAGACGCGGCCATGGGTGCCTCGGAAGGACGCTTTCCCAACTCTCCCGTTTCTGACTTCTGGCTCCGGACTACATGGGCTGCGCTGGACGGGACGGCACTGCGCCTTCTCCCAGAATTTGAAGAAACTCGTGGTCACCGACCCGCGCCTTGTGCAGGGCAAAGTGTGGAGCGGGAGGGGTGGCGCGATGCAGGATGTGGCAACTTCGAGCTCCAAGGGCCTACCTAGTATGATCAGCAGATCAAGGTGCGCCAGAGTTTGAGAAGGCTGGCATCAAAAAGCCTACGCTGCTACGTTGAAAAATCGACCTACGTAACCAACCTTCCCAGAAATCTGATGATGACATATCTCGGAGGGGGATGACACATCGGCTTATCGTCGTCCCAGCGACCCCATCGACTTCCGGTATCCACCACTGGGGCTGCAGAAATCCGGAGTCCAAGTAAGCGGGATCCGCCTGAAGACACGCCAAGGGCAAGGCTCGCGTGGAGTCCAAGGATACCCACACCAGCAGTTCGCACAATATGGGAGTTTCCGAAATAAGGGGTACCTTATTTTGGGGTCCTTGTAATAAGGATCCTACTAGGGTACTATTTTAAGGTCCCCTATTTTCGGAAGCCCCCAAAATTCACAGGGGAGGCCAAAAAAGCGCAGCACCAGAAAGTTGCAGTGGCCCCACACCCTGTGCCCGGACTTGCCCTCGACAGGTTCAGCCAAGGAGCCTCTGAAGAGAAAGCCTGCTTCAAGCAAGCTGGCTCGGTACTCCTGAAGAAAGCAGCCACACAATCAAAAACGCAGCGCACGCAACGCTTCATGCAGAAGTCTCGTGTTCATGTACAGGTGACACGTAGTCTCTGATAGATTCGTGACGATAGCATCAAGCTAGCGGATAGTAATGTGATACGTATCAGTAGGCCTCGGTGACCGAGACCGGCTGCGTGCAGGATTCATAGCAACCTCAGAATGTCATGGGCAGCAAAGAGTGATGGCAAAGTCGAGGTCTGATCCCCATAACTCTGCATCAGCGGTGACGGTGCTTGGTTGATCGTATACAGCTTCATAACCCGAGATTCTCAGCGCACTCAAACCAAGGCAACGGCTGGCGGCAACTGGGTGAAACGCGTCCAGTGGACGATCTGGCTCCGATGGCCCCTCTTCGTAGGGACTTACATGGTCGAGCCCTTGATTAAGAAATGGCGGCAGGACAAAAGGACATGCAGATCATAGTCATCTCCTTGCAGATTCCCTTCCAAGGAAGTTCAGGCGACATGCGATCCCTGTCATTTGCCGCAAATTAAAGCAGTGCTGGAGTCTGGGCAGCCGGCACAGAACTTGCCCTTCTCCTTTTCCTGGTTCTGCTCCTGTGTTCCATCGTTAGGCCCGCTGCGGGGAAAGAGCCTTTATCTCGGAAGGAAAGGTCTCGGCCTGAAGACCTCAAAGTTCAAGGCGGAAAAAACCACCCCATCCACCTCGCGAAGAGAGGCGATCAGGTTGGAGATCATCTCTTTGACGCTCCTGGGTGTGGCAAGACATAGCAGCATTTGGGCATGATTTGGACAAGTACTCGGTCTGACGCCCCTAGTGTCCGGTGCTCGAACTGTCAAGCATCTAGACGGCAAGTTGAAGCACAGTTGCTATGGCTGCATGTCACCTTCAACCAACACATCGTCGTGCCCTTAGATACAGCTTGTACAGATACCGGATCACGGCTTCCCTCAAATGCATACGAGGCTCTTGAGAGAGTCTGCGGTCTCCCTGGCAGACTGGGCCTGGATGCCATGTGAGGTGCTCAGGACATAGTTGCAGAGAAGGCATGGCGTCTTGCCCGAATTGTTCCATGTGCAGGCTCCCAGTGTCGGGATAGGGCGGTGAAGCAGTGACAAGAATCCAGGCCTGGCCAACTTCCGTCCCTGCACTCACCTTACCAAGTGCTTTGTGCACTCGCTCCCAGTCTCTATGGATGCTGCAACTGGTATTTCACTGGGTCCGACCGCCGGCTTGGGCAGCAGGAGCTAGGAACACGAAAAGAATAGGAAGACCCATTGCACTGAAGCGAGAATTCGGCCAGAAGTCGAGTGCAGACACGAGAACGAAATTCTGCATTGTGCTTGATGACAATTACAAGCGTGGCCTGCACGAGATTGCTCTCCGGGCTGGCCGGCACCGCGTCGTCGCTTCCCTGCCCACGGTTTTGAGGGGAAATCCCTCGCTGGACAAGGCTCCACAAGGTGCCTGCATCTGGAAGTCCTCCGAAAGACCACGGTGGCTGTCACTCAACGCCTCGATGTTGCGAAGAGCGTTGCGCACAGCCTCGAAGCACGACCCACGAAAACTCCGACACTAAATGCAAACACTTAGACTTCGATGTGGCCCACCTCGGACAGGTCATCGCTACCAGTATCTCCTCAGAGCCGCTTGCCAGTGGATGGAAAGCTGGTTTCATCTGGTCTTGGGGCGAGCACTGACGGAATCCAGCTGCAGGAAGTTCACGGCTGCAGCACTTGGACCCTTTGCGCCCCTCGGCCCAAGTGCACGTCAACTGTAAAGTCAAGTAAACGTATATGGCAAGGCTGCACTCCGTCTTAAGGCCAGAACGGTGTCAGTGTGAAGCCAGAGGCTTTCGCCTGTGCACTTCAACAACGCAAGACTATGGTGCATCCCGACAGTAACATGTCAATGTGTTGAACGATACTACATTGGTGTCCTGAACATCCGTGAACATGCTCGAAACCCACGGGGAAGATATCGTGATAATGGCGTCTCTAGAACACTGAACCCCGCCAGAAGACGGGGGGAGGTTTTTTTTCCTGGTGGCTTCGGCCCTGTTTCCTGGCGTGTTTTCCTCCGTCGTGGTGCTGTGGCTTGCCGTGGTGGGTCTGCTATCTTCCTTCGGGGTGTGCAGGGTGCGTGGGGGTTCGTCGTTTGGGAATTGACACTGTCACAATTCATTTGATTGGGCCTTTGGTTCAGAGTCTTCGCGCACAAAGAGACTCTGGTGCTTCTGGCCGTCAGACTGAGGCGACTGCCAGGCTCTTCAGAAATGAAGAGGCCATGAGCACCTGTGACCGGACCTGGGCCAACAACGGTGTGCACTCAGCCTCTGCTGCACTGACGTCAAACTCATGAGGCGACAAGGCTGCGGACTTCTGGACGCTTGTCGGATTCAAACTTCTTTGCCTGCGGCCACCGTAAGAATGGAAACTGCTGCTGGCTCTTCGACATGTCAACATCACGAGAGACTGGGCGACACGTTCGAACGTGCTGTCTTGGAGAAGCCTCGCAAGACACTTTTTGTGACAGGTATGGGTTTCACACGGACGAAACAAGCTCACAAATCTATGTGTTCAGTCACAGATGTTGCATGCATGTATGTGTGTGCGCGTTGGTTAATTTCGTGTGTATGTATGTTTATACACAGGATACATAGTTTATATATCTATACAGAGAGAGCTAGGGAGGGAGAGAGAGGAGAGAGAGAGAGAGGGAGAGACACCCATTTATTCAGACATTAACATATTTCTGGCCCTTCGCACGTGCGAATTGACTGTGAAAGACAATGCGTGACATGATGGAGAAACACCGCTTGATTACTGCAGCCTGTTTACGTTCTTTTGCGATTGTGTATAGAGAGAGGGGGATAGAGAGAGAGAGGGAAAGGGTGGGAGAAATGTGTACATACATATACATATGTATATATATATATATGTACACATATGTCTGTGTCTCCCTATGAAAGGATCTAGGCAAACAAACTTTCAATGTAATCAGGTATGTATCATTGGTATATATTTTTTGCCAGGTGTAGACTACCAGTAACAAGTAGGATCCGTCATAGCACCTGCACGAATTGAAATCGTCCCGGCCTCTGCGAGAAGCTCGCATTTTTTCTTGGACCTGCCCCCGGCATGGTATTCTCTCTATAACAGCCACTACTTGTAGTCGTCTGCTTGTGCTTCAACCTTGAACCCTGAACAGTCTTGAACTGAAACCCAAGGTGGCACGTTTTGAGCGTCTGACTTCTCCAAGACTGCGGTGTCTCGCTGCACCCCTTTTTTGGACATGGCCTCGCATGAGTGAAGATCATTTGTGTTCAGAAGGGGCTTTGGTAGTTGTACCGGACCTGTGGGCGTCGATTAGCCGGAAAGAACCAACTGCAACAAAGTGAGGACAGACCCGTCAGATCCACAGTAGAAGTAGGGATTTAGCAAGGATCCTGCTCGACAGGGCAAGCGGGCAAGCATAGCGCAGGCAGCCCAACATGTGTTACAAGAACAGCAGTACCCTGAGTCTCGAGCAACCGTACGGTTGGCCTGGGCGAATGCGGAAATAGCTGTGGGCTTCCCTTGTTCCCGCTTGTGTGTCTGGGTACAATGATGAGAGGATCACGAAGCAGGTTGCATTATGGGCCAGATACACACATACACACCCACTCTCTCTCTCTCTCTCTCTTTCTCTACTTCTTTTTTCTCCTGCAGGATCCCCGAGCCTCTGAGATCTTCTTGAGCTGGTCTGCCAACCTCGGCGAATCCAAGAGCAGTAGGAAAACGAGAGCTTTCTCTCAAGGGCCAAGATACAGACTCCTTGCATCTCGACAAAGTGGGGGTTTCCGAAAATAGGGGACCTAATATAGCACCCTAAATAATAGGATCCTTATCATAAGGACCCCAAAATAGGGTACCCCCTATTTTAGGAAACTCCCACATAAGCTCGCCTCCCTTCTATGCCCCGCGCTCCGGCTGTCGGTCGGCAAGGCCAGCCTGAAGAGGCTCGAGCCTGGCACAGACAACACGAACTGGAGCAGCCTGGGCCATTTCACCGAAGCAAGAGGTGAATCTTCTCTAGCATGTCCCACTACTCTACCCATCCTGTTGGGGATTCCAGAATAGAATCCTAAATATAAGCCACAAAAAGGAACTACTATGGGGCCTGTGGGTATGTCACACCTGCACCGGCCCCTTGGGAGCTTCGTCCTTCTACGCCAGCTCTCTTTGACTGGGCTCTGGGCAGCTTCCGCTTCGCCTTGATCAGATCCATCAAACGCAGCTCCTGCCAAGACAAAACCCAAATTCGTTGCATTTTGCCGCACGATGCGGGTTTGAGCAAAGCACGCAAAATGTTGATATATCATGCCCTGACAGTCTGCTTCCAAAGCAAAGGTGGTGCCTCCAGCTCGAAGGCCTGCAAGCAGGGAGCGTGCATTGAGCCATGCAGGTCATGCTGAGGGGTTGCAGGGCCTCGCGGGCAATCTGCGCAGCCTTGTTCACATCTGCCGCATCTTTGTCGAGGGCCTGAGAGACGCTGCAGATCCCATTCCACCTTCGCATCCCGTGTTCGTGGCCTTCGAACTGCTTTCCGCTGCATCCTTCCTGTCAGAGGAGACACCATTGCCATGGCTTATTCGCCAAGGGCATCGTGATGCGTCGCGCCTCCCAGTCTTCTCTGGAGCCTGGGATGCGTCTTCGTCAGTGCTTTGCAGCTCTGCCAAAGAGCTTGGATTCCAGGCCTGCTCAGAGTTTTAACCGACTTCGGCCACAGGCAGCGCAGGCTTAAGCACTCGCACACTTTTGGAGCAGCCTTGGCTCTCGGCATGTCCCCGAGATGGGCTGGACCCGACGTTAACTGCAAAGACTCGTGGTCAAGGCTGCTTCTGCATGCCAAGAGAGAGACAAGAGCATCATCGCTTCGCGACGAGCCGGGCAACGAGTCTCAACCCTGTTCACCGAAGTTTCCAGCTTCGGTGACGTGTGAGACTTCATGAGGGTCTTGTGCCTCGAATGGAGGTCGATCTGCGTCGGCATGGAGGTCACCTTCCTGGCTGCTGGAAGAAGCTCGCGGCTGTGCCTGAACTCGGTAAGCTCGGGGCTTCAAAAAAAGGCATGTCTCACGCACTGTCAATCTACAACTACAGATAAATTTATAAGGTGATCGCTGCGAACATTGTGCGCGGGCTTGATGACGCTTCGAAGGTTCCTTGCGCAGTGGTGCGGCAAAGCTCCTAAACCGCGGCTCAATTCATGATTGTGAGGACCTGTCATGTCGCGCGGGCGTCACGAAACTACCGCAGACACTCTGCGCAACGCCGAGACAGGATTCTGCATGCTGGTGCTGCGCGTGCCGCACTCGGCCAAATACCTGGGCGCACATGCTCAAGGTATGACGTCAAGAACTGTGTTTTTGTGAAATTGTTGTAAGCAGTTCTTCCGAGTCGCATGTGCTTCATCGTGTATTTCGCCAAAGCCTCGGCGGAAGGAAGGCGTCGCTCGGCTCCATGCTAAGAGCCATGAATGGCAGCTTTCTGAGGCCAGAAGCATATTTCGGTAGGACGAAGCTCTTGGGCTCTCTTTGCCTAGAAGCAAAGAGCTGAAGGCGGCGAGGGTACAAGGAAGCCCGTTTGCATGCAAAGCTGCTCCGTGAGGTCCGGCTCGGGCTGGCCAGCATCGGCTTCTTGCCTCTCATCCTCCTGCAGACACGGGCCGGGCGTCGGCGCCAGGCACCGAAAGAGCGAAATTGGGGTTGAGCCAGTCCTGGATGGGCTCAGCTCTTTGGGACTTCAGCTCTCCGAGACTCGCGTGCCGGCTGAGGTCTCGTCTCGGCTGGCCTCGGGGGCGAGACGTTGTCGTCCCAGGCACCGGGGCACAGTCGAAGTGACAAGGTCCGAACTGCAGATGCTCCGACCAGTGAAGGAGGCCCTGCTCCTTCGGCTCATGTTGCTGGCCACTGATGGAGTGGCCGGCCGGATGTCCTGAGTCGCCCAAGCTTAAAATCTCAAAGACACTGATCGGTTTCGAAGCTCTGAGGTAAACAATCAACTCGTATCAACTCCAAAGTGTCCTCGTTTAGGGAAACCAATGCATCACTCACGAAAAGTAAATCGAGCTCATTCATGAGCGTACTCTACACCTCCACCTTGAGGCCGCTGTCTGCGGCAATGCCAAGCATCATTCAAGCGGGAGGGCGGAAAAATCTGAGCCCACGACAATATAGGTTTGGTTCCTGGTGGCTTTAAAGCCTTTCGCTTTCATCAGCGGGACCTTTTCCAATGCAAAATCTCGTAGCATTCGATGCTCAAGGCACGCAGAGCATGTTCTTGTTTCAGCTTAGAAGAGAGCCTTTGTGACCGGCACGTTCTCGCGCCGCTCCTACCCAGATGTGGCGACCGCAGTGCTGAAGTTTACGGCTACTGTTTGGTCTGCATCGTACATGTGGCCTTGGAGCCCGATTTGTAGAAGTTTCAATGCAGGCACAAGTCCTGGAGGTACTTTTCCTCTGCTTCGCATCGCCTGCCATAAATCAGCCTCAACACTGAGCGTGATGCATGCCAGAACTGTACCCGAATCTCCCGAGATGCACGGCTGCTGTTGGACTCTTGCAGACCTCGCGCTGACCACGCACTTGCCCCACGTCTCGCATCTGAGCACGTAACTCCATCACCCATCGCTCGGTCTTGGCAGAGAAGCCTCTGGCACAGGCTTCAAGACATGCAAGAGATCAGAGGCAGCGATGGACCCGGAGTCTGGGATGAATCCATCTCTGGCCTCTGGAGCTTTGGGTGGCAAGGGGGAGTAAAAGTGTTCTTCTTCTTGGATCATAGTCAATTATGGTATAATATACCCCAAAACCCTATGCTAATTCTTAAGGCCCCTAAATTACTTAGAAAACCCAATTCTGGCTTTCGCCGAGCTGCCCGGCAGTGGCGGCCGCGCGCTGCCCATCACCGTGGCTTCTCCCTCCTCACAGGAACAGCCCTACTACCCTACTCAACACGGCTCCGGCATAGAGCTGGGTCGCAGGTCCTTTTGAGACGTTTGCGCCATGGCCGTCCGCGGTCAAGGGGACCCAGAAAGGAATCCAGCAGCCATCTCCGGCGACGAGAATTGAGTACCGACGCACGCAGCTACTGGCAAGGTGAAGGTCTTGAGATTTGGCACTGCGACGAGTCATGGGCGGCTTGTTTCTCTTTTCGCTGCTTTGCTGGATTGGACGATGGCCGTCGACTACTTCTCGCTGGTTGAGCTGACAGGTGCATGATCAAACGAGCACACATGAAAAGTACAAAGCTGGCATGTTGAATGAGTGCGAAAAGAAGCTCCTGGCCAAGGTTTAGATGCAAAGCACACTCCCTGCTGCAACCGAACAACGCAATTGCTTGCCTCGCTGCCTGTTTCTCCACCCTGGTCGCTGTCCTCCACGGTTGCCACATGCTGCATGCCCTCGTCGGATGATTCAACACACTTCCAGCATCCACTAGCAATCGAAGGCTCCTTGCTGTCTCCCTGCAGAAGCTCAGCCGCTTCGTCCAGCTTGTGGGCACCGCTCCTTGACCAGACCTGCGGAGGGTGCCCTTAACCGCGATGCAAAGGATTGCTCGGCAGTGAGGCTTTTTGAAATACGTCTGACATTCTCACTCATCTAGCGAAGGGATGTGAAAGGATGAAGAGAAATCTGGCATTTCATGCAGCGAGTGAATAAGCAAGTCTGACTGCTTTATACAGCGATCGAGAAACGATTGACTTTTGTATGCAGCGAGAACGGGCATGTCATGGCGTCCTAGCGCTTTTTGTGTGAGGAAGCATTCTTAACATTCAGGTGCTGAGGATCGCAACTGCGCGGGTCCGGACAAGCTACATGTGAATGCAATTCGGATGCTGGGTCTAATCACTACTTACATCTTTGCCATATGCACGAAACAGACAAGATCTTCACCCATGCTGGAATCTTGGGTGAAGCTGCTGGATGCTTCTTCCGGGAAGTGTCCATGTCCCCAAGATCTGCGTACGCTGCTTTCGAGCCGAAGGCTCACTTCTTATTCAGACATTCTGTGCGCAACATGTTCATGGGCTTTCTCAAGAAACTCCAGCGCGCCCTCGGCGCAGTCTTGCTAAAGGGTTCTCTGAAAGCCAAGCAAGGAACACTTTCCCACTACCACACTGCAGAGTCAGCCCTGCCTGATCTATTCTTTGCTTGGCCTTGCTCAGGATGGCCTGGCAGGGGATGTCTTCACGATGCTTGCTCACGATGCTTGCTCAGATTTCGGCAGGCTCCGCGAGTCTCTAGAGTCCGGAGCCGCCTTCACTTCCCGAGTGTAGCCAGAGTCGCGGGCAACGGCCGCTTGACCTTGGCATGACTGGTGGATTGAGAGGTTGCAAGCATCGCATCTACAACAGCGCTGAGGCAGAAGCGCTCCGTTCGTAGAGTAGCAAGCTGCTTCTGAAGAGCAGCAACCCTTAGCGGGGGGGTTTGACATGTCAGACTTTGTATGCCCATATCCATTGCACAGGCTTTCGAAGCTGCATTTCTGTGGGTTCCGCTGGCTCTTGTTTTGTTCACGCGCTGTTCGACATCGAAGACTGGCCACGAGCCGTATAGCCTACACAAATCCCATCTTGCGGAAGACACACTACCTAGACCTAGCCAAGTTAGTCGTTCCAGTCTCGAGTCTCGGGGCGAAATACCTAAGTCGGAGTTTACTCATGCCAACATCCGCGCCACATAACACCGAAGTTTCTGTCCTCGCTGAACTCTTGGAAGAGATATGCATGAACGGCACATGTTGACTGGAGTCTCTTGAAACAATTCTCAGAAGCAGGTAGCGTGGGTCCAGAGAAATTCACCGGAAATGCCGGGCGGGTGCCGGCAGATTGCCTGGCTGTGCAAGGCTCGGAAGAACCTGAAGGTCCATGCCTCTCACTTGCTTTCTTCTGCTGTGCCGCGCACGGCCATGTCCAAACAGTATTTACACGTGCATCTGGATCCCGGAAGATGCTGACAGGCTTCCTAGTAAAGCTCAACCAAAGCGCTGACTTCGACCAACTGGTCTGGTCCAACTCCGCCAAAGATGTGAAACGTGGACTCCTCTGTTGGTAACTCCACCATACTGTTCTGCAAAGTGAAATGGCCAGAGGCCGTGCGCATCTCCCCGTTTGAAACTGAGAACCCAAACCGGCATGGCAAACAACCGTGGTCTTTGGGTGGGGTGTCGCACTTCAACTGGAACATGCATCTTCCGTCAGACTTCTTAAAGTTGGCATCGGGATTTGCCGTACCCCAATTTTGGGGGAATGCACCGATTAAGAATCTCAGGAGCTGTCCAGTACCAGGGTGGTACAAGTCAAACCCCGGTGAGATGACCTGCTTGTCGTTGGTCCGGAGCTTGCGAGAGTCTACGAACCATGTGACCAAGTAAGATCCTGGTCTCTCCATGTGGCGGATGTGCATATGTTGTGGGTCTTGGTGATCTGTGCCTGGTATCCCAAGGAGCCGCGCGACCTCACAGATGTAAGCTGCATATTCGGCTGTTAAGAGGACCCGGTTCGTTTGCAGGTGGTAGATCCACTCGAACCACTCTTCCACCGTGTACTCTTGAAAAGGGAAGTACACCTCCGACTCCGTGCCGAATTGCGGCTCACCGCTAACCCCGGTGAATGGGGCAGCATCTGGGTTTAGAGTTGACGGAACCACAGGCGCCTTCGGCAACTGCACCTCGGGCAGCTTCTCCTGAAGCTACGCTCTGACACTTTGACTCGCCAGATGAGGATAGCACAGCTAAATAGTAAGAATCTAATCTCATCAGATCATCAGCAAGTGCCAAGATCGCTAGAAAACTCACAGCCCAGTATCAGTATAAGGCATC